AAAAGTCTCAGCTGAAGTGCAGTTGTTTGCGCTGGCTTGCAATGGATGTTTATGAGGTGAGCATAATCCTGTAACGGTTACGGTGATGAAATACATCCTGTGCCGAGAGCTAGTAAAGGACCGCGCACGCACTGATGCTAGTGGAATTTTAATGCTTCAGAGATGGGAAGCACGGTGTCTGCTCTGGTTATTGCTGCTGTTACTGACCACAATAAAAACGGGGGTGAAATCAGGTTTTAAATACTGCGACAAAACCGTATCTTCACACGTCACCCGCAGCAAACATGCAAGTTTCTACTGCTGTCTTGTTTTCCTCTGTTGGTTTAGTTCACTGTACAATAGCCATGTTTTTGATATTTTTCTGTTGGGTGTCTTGCTTCCCTTATTTTTTTGTGAATCCCAAGAAAAGGGCATTGCTAATAATGATGTCAGAGAACGTATCGATAAGATACATTGCCACAGAGGAGGATTTTGTTATTGTCTGAACTGTCACTGGAGTCCAGTTAAAGCTGCCGGAGCTGACTGTGAGTTAGCCTTGTTCCCCCTTGTTACCGTTAGTATTTTGTTCATGGTACCTTCTTGCTTGGTATATTCTGTTTCTTCTTATGGTGAAAATCTGTAATAGGATTAAAACTTCACGTGAAGCTCCATTTTAAAGGGCAAGTTGGGAATGTTAATAGATTTCCAAAAATTATTTTTGAGACAGTGAATCATATATCCTACACTGGCCTAGAACTCATGTATCTGAGGTTGACCTTGAATTCCTAATCTTCTTACTTCTACCTCCAGATTGTGAGATTGCAAGTTACACCACTGGCCAGTTTGGGTTGATTCATATTGAGCAAACTGTTTTCTAGAATTCAAAAAATTAGTCAATATCCTCAGACTCAGAGGATTTATTTTCATAGAATGTTATGTAAAGAATAGCAAGGCTTCAGCATTTCACATGTCTAAACTTCAAGTTCAGGTTATCTGTTTCCGTGCAATTCAGATTCAGTTCATCCTTTAGCATCTACGTAGTATTATCTGCATAGTACTTTTGTTGGAGGATTGTGAAGGTCAAGGGGAATATGAACATTATGTTCCCTATGATTAGAAAAAGTAGGAATTAAGAAATTTGTGTTAATTTATGCTTGCTTACCCCTGCACTACTTCTAAGTAAGTGGTGAGAGAAAGCACGCACTGAGCCTTCAGAAGAATAAAAACAGAGTAGTGGCCAAGATGAAGGCTCAGTTATATCAGAAGAGGCACTGTATTGACTCACTCTTTGCTTTAAACGCCCTGCCCAGGATGCTCAAGGCAGAAAGAGAAAAAGACTAAGTACATAGCCGTGCTTTGTGTAGCAAAAGGGAAGCAGGCGAGCTTAACCTAAGCTTTTTCTGGCTTCCAGTGAACTGATCCTTTACTACAGTATCATAAACATAATTATCCAAAACCCAGTCTTCTCTTTATAGACCCAATAGTTATACAAACTCTTTATAGTGTGAAGAATTATGGGAATAATGTTATAATGTTGGCGATCTACAAAGACATTTATAAGAGCTATAAAAAGGCATATGAATAGTTCACTCACCACTTAACGTAAGGTTGGGTTAAATTTCTGTATTAGTAGTCATCAAGCTAAAGTTTTAGTACAGAGAAACTCTTACACAGTATGTACTTACAGTTTTCAAGGTAGCACACCCCAGAGCTCCTTGGGTGGGATTGGCTTTGATATCTTCACATACACCACTCTAACCCTGGTAGCTCTGGAGGCACCTGTAGAACCCACAGTAGCTCATGAACCACAGAATGTAAACACTACTGACTGAGAGAAATAGCTGGCGAATACTTCACTTGGGGCCTCCTCCTCAAAGAGAGTTTTGGTAGCTGTGTATAAATTAAGGATGTTCAAACTATTTTTCCATGCACCAAAAGCATGGATATCTATTGTTATTAACTGAACAGAGAAACACGTGTCCTAGCTAGCAATGTGGCTAGACAGTTTGACAAATGAAAGGCGCATATTCTCCTTGCTCTAGTTAAAGGTAATGAATCACTGGATAAATTTATTCATAAGCATAAATGTAATGCTATGCTTGGCGTTACCATGTACTTACACACATATGAACAAGCATATTTTAAAATTTAGCCAATTACAAGCTTGCCAGATGCCTGAAACAGTCTTTTTTAAATTAAGACTCCTGAAATTTAGTACCACAAAACTAAAGGAAGAGTCTAGATTGTAGGACTTCCAGTGGTAACTCTAGACTACATATTTACAGCAAATGCCGAGTGGAGATTCGAAGATCTGCTAGTCAGTCTGCTGATTCCAGAAACTCAAACCCCTGAGCAGACTGACCTGTAGTTCAGACAGGTTCACCTGGAAGCTGAATGTCAGGTGCAGCCTGAGCGAGTGAATGGGTCCACCAAATGTGGGCAATCTCTGACTGACATTTGATGGTGGTTCCCAAAAGTGAAGCATCAATAGATGTTTGGACTGACTTTTAGTAACAGATAAATAAAGAACATTGTAGAAAACATTTCATTATAAAGGAACTTATTTTTGGTCATTGTATTTATTCTTTGAAAATTAATGTTTATTTAAAAGCGATTACATATACAAGTGTACAGAAAATGTGTAAATGAAACATAAGATGCCATGGACTGGTAATCTGCTAATATTTTACTTTCCAGACTCTTATTTGCACAGTTATGATCTTGTGTATTTAACAATTTGGCATTCTCTGTTTACTACCATTTTCCTTCATCTTTTAAAGATTTCTATTTTATTGACCACATGGTATTGAGTTATTATTCTCTAAATTGTTGAACAGAAATATAAATTGATATCATGGTTTTTCTATTTCAAAAAACCATGGTGAAAATTTTAAGTCCCAACATTAGATTGGAGTAAAAAAAAAACCCTTTTTTGCATAGTTGCTTACCATATAGATTTTACCAATTTATACTTCCATTTAAATGGCTCTGAGTTCTTTCCTTGGCACAGAAACTCAGTAATTAGGTAATATGTTCAATATACGGTTGCATAAAGCACTGTGATTTAAAAGGAAGGCAGTTTTAGTTCTTTAAAGTTTTAGCTTTTATTAGATAATGATGACCTCAAAGATTGTATAAAATGATGCCAGTTATCAATATAGAAGCACCTTTCTTACATGCTAGAAATTATTTAGTTTAGGTTGGTTGGGAGTGATCTTGTTTTAGAATTAAGTTTCCTAATTGAAGTAAGTATATTGAGAAATATCAACAACTTAATATTTGAATTATCCCAATGAATTTATAAGGCAAAGTACTTTAAAATACCTGTTGATAGCCTAAAGTCAATAGTAAATCCATGTTTGTTCTAAGTATAGTTTCTTTAAATATTTAGCAAATTTTACTTCTAATAATTTCCTATGCAGAATGAATAAATTGAAGCATACTTCTACTGAATTCAAAAAGATTTATATCCCCAAAGCAAAAGAAAGAAATGTATTTATAATTCATTTCCAAAAGTAATGAAGTTTTATAACATTAATTTAATTTAATTTTATTGACAAATATTGTTACTCAGGCATGGTTCAGTCACTTGTAGAGCATAAAATTCAAGTTAGTTCTATTAATGCCTAAATATGCAATATAGGTAATGCCCAATGCATCAGAACATTGTATTCTGATTTCATGTATGGGTAGAGCATAAGCCTATATGTAGAAAAATAATTAGACAAATATTGTGTGAAAAATTCAGAAAACTGAAAAAATTAAATTTTGTGTTTATATTAACACATTGATTCATGATATATTATATGTATTATTTTCTAAAACTTATACCTGGCTTTACATGTTAAACACAAACTAATAAAATTAGTAATTGTAGAAATATCATTGCTTACAAATTATTCAGAAGACACAAACTTTAATGAACCATTGCCTTTTAGTAGAAGTTGATAGAAACTGCTGCTCTTTTCCATCTTTATGATTTTCTGTTTCCAAAAATGTCTGAAATTTCTAACTTTGTTGAGCAGCTATGTTTGAAAAGAAAATGAACAAAGATCAATCTTCTTCCACAATATATTTTTCCATGCCTCAAATATTCCAAACAAGCTCTCACATTAGGGGCAGTTCTAACACGATGGGCTTTTAAGAGCAGATGTAATAACAAATGGAAAGTCTTAATTGTACGATTATTCTGGGTTAAACTAGGAGAGAGTGGGCTAGCCTTTGGCCAGCAGAAGACTCTGTACATATCACATGATAGGTCAACAGCATCAGACCAAGGGAGAGAAGAAGAGTCTGCAACAATAGTTGGAAATTTTATTTTCAAATAATTATTGGATATGACTAGTCTGTGAATAAATATGTCCGCACAATCTTCATGAAAGCTTTTAGAAACTGGATTGCCAAATGCTCTTTGAAAATACGTAGTTCAAAAATATTGTATCAGTTTTGGAGAAAGCAGTGTCTACAGTGTGAGAAATGGGCCAGCAACATTGGACATCATCTAAAACAAGACTGTGGGCTACAAAAGCCATTCATAAATACAGCACAAAGAAGGCATCTATATCCAGTCTTGTGTTTCCTAAACCTCAGCTTTTGTGACTTATTAAATGTACTCTTCATGTATACATTTTAGAGTCAACAAATGACACAAGAAAATCCTTCCATTTTATTCCATCATAGAAACATACACATGCAGCAATGTCTCTGAGTGTTTGAGTTCTTCAACAGCCATGACACACTTCAGACAGCACTGAGAAAGTTGTAGTTCTATGGTGGGTTTCTTTTTTCTGTGTAGGTTTTACCATACCATCAAATAAGTGAACTTTCTGTAGAAAAAGGAAAGTAAAATAAACCCTGAGCCATACTCTGTTGAGCCAAGGCAGATGATATGGCTTTGTAACTGGTGAGGACATTGTTCTGCACTTGGGTCTCATGGACTGCTTGATGGTACTGAAACTAGATGTTCTTTGGCTTTTAAACAACTGTTCCGTATTTCACTATGGATCTCCTTCTGTCCTCAGGGCCGGTGCATAAACTTCTCCCGAGTTCCACATCAATAAAATGAGAGCCCAAAGAATGAAAAGAGAAGAAAGCGTCCCATCTCCATGATGCTGATTTCCCATCGAGTGGACAGTCAGTCCAGCGCATCTCAGAAGTTCTTGGGACAACAGCTCAGTTCCTCTGTCAGGAAATGTTTTCTCTGCCTTCTGCTTTCTGTGCGCCAAACATTTTCAAACACTTCCTCTGCCATCTACATGAGAGGTGATGAAACTCGGCGATAACTCATGATTCATGACACTGAAAATACCGAGGGATGTTAATTTGCATGCTCCGGTTTATGCAAAGCTCATTTGAATGTGTGAGAGGACAAAGCAGAACACAGCGATGATGTAAAGATGAGACCAGAGCAAAGACTGAAAATCCACTAGCCACGTGGCGGCTTCATAATGGCGGCTGGTGCTTTTGACATAGACGCAAGGCACGTGTGCGCGCTTTGTTTGGCAAGATCTTTAGCTACTGGCAGAACTTGAAATTTCCTACCAGGCTAACAAGATAATGGAGTCCACTGCCTTGTAGCTATGTCAGATAGCAAAAGCCTTCTAAGTCCTCTATTATTTTGTGCCTTACGGGAAATTTCTGACTAGAAAATCTTGTCACTGTTACACTGAAAATGCACACGCATGACAAAACGTAGTCGAGAAGCCTCAAGGTACTGGATGCAAGCAGGATTTTGCCCTTTCGTTTTCCAAGACACCTTTCTTTCATTATGCACTAGGGACAAGGGAATTAATAGAGCGTTAATTCAACAGGAAGACCGCCTCCAACCAAAGATCGGGAGCGCAGCATGAGGACTCGTGATTTGAGACCTTGTCCCCAGACTGGTAGCGTCCCCTTTCTCAGTGTTTAGGATTTAGCAGTGCAGAAAGCATTAATATCTGTAAACACACCTAAGTGTTTGTTTGGCTTTTAATTTAAGGAAGCAGTAACCACCAAGCTTCCGCTCAGGGTTTTTTTCTTCCTTCAAGTCTCCAAGGGCTCTTCAGCGTCACAAGCCAGCAACTCTCTTTGCATGAAAATTTCAAAGTTTAATTAATATAATTAAAGGCAACAGCAAGCAGCAGCCTGTGAAGACTTTGCTCATCTTTTTTATGCCTTTTGACATTGAATGACCTATCACTGTCTGCATGCGACTTGGACATTGAGAAGCACCGCACCTTGGTTGCGATTCAGCCCAGGAAAAAACAAACAAACAAAAAAAAAAACCGTCTTTTCTTCAGTTGATAGATTAAAATCAGGAGGGGCGCCATCGGAAAGCATCGACAATCTACGTACTGTAAATTTTTAGAACTATCATCATCGTGTCTCATCAACGATGCCAAATTATGTTAGCGTGAGCAGAAACACGGTGGGGGAGGAAGGCAGCCGCAGCTGAAGGAAATAGCTCCGATGATCTAGTCACTTTCGATACTGTACTTCAGAGGCGAAATGGATATTCGACTGGAAACCTGACAAAGCGCGCCTGCTTTGATGTGAACTGGTATAGACAATGACCAGTGGCCGGGTCAGTGGGATGTCTCTCTGCGAGCACAAAGGCTTATCAAATGACACTAAAAATAAGTTCAACAACCATCACGTTGGAAGGGAGACGGCGAACGTTTCATGTTTGGCGGGCATGTGAGTGCACAAGATGGAAAAAGCGGTCTGGAGCATCCTGGTGTGATTACCCACATTGTACTCTTTATGGAAATTTCCAAGGGCTGCAGTGATACTTTTGGTTGGTGTCCAGGTTTATGGCACTGCTCCAAGAAGCCTTACGCACACACACAGATATACAAATGCACACATATATTCTCTAGCTTGAATCTTTTTGCTCAAGTTTATTTATGTCACTGACTGGCTGGATCCAAAGTCACACCTCCACATATTAATAAATAAATATTTTTTACCTGAGTCTTTGTTTTCATTTTCTTTAAGCCCTCATAGAACCTACACTCTCTTGGGTTGAATACATAACTCCGCTGGTTAGCAACAAGATAGAATTCTATTCAATTGCAAAATGTCCAATATGTTCACAGTTGATTCACAGTTGAAGCTATGGGTACAATGTGTGTGTGCACATGCAATGTAGAAGGCTGATACATCTACCCAACTCTCTCTGTAGTGAATCATTGTACACATTTGTTTTGTGTCTACCTCTAGAGCAGGACCCATGGCTACTTTATCCAATAGGCACTTCTTTTGTAACACAGGCATGCCCATCAGGGGTATTTTAAGAGCAACAAAAATACTACAGAAGCTCTGGCTATGTTTCTTTGGTAACCACTTTACATTTTTACAGAATCATGTAGCATATTTGCACCACGAGAAATGTAAATAAACCTCTGCCTTTAAATGGCAAAATAGCTTTCTTGAGATTTGTTGCACTGGCTGGAGATGTGTAATAAAAATACAACAAAGAGCTGAAAATGAAGAGGGTGAGTCAGGCGTCTATACATAGGCTGAAAAAGTATCATTCATAAGGTTCAAAGACAGATGGAATTTCATTGCCCTTAAACTGATGAACCAGAGTAGCGCTATGCTTTAATCGTGACTCTAACCAGAAATGAGAAGAATTTGTTTTTAAAATTAATCTTCTTGGCAAAGGACGTTAAAAATCTCTACGTGACACTTTTCCTACATGGCAATAGATCCCGTGTGATTCATCTGGACATGTCAGTCGAGATCTCCGTCTTTGTACAAACAAATGAGTCTTGTCCATCATCCATTTGTGTTGCATAAGGTTGCAAAAGCAATTAAGTGGGAAATGACTCCTAACTTATGTGTCTCCTCTGCCGAGAAAGAAAGTTTTGAAGGCATCTATATATATTTCATAACAATGTCTGTTCTTTATGGATTTGATCCATAAATATTTATCTATCTGAAAACTTTGATACTTGGAATGTTTTCCATAAAGCATTTGGTGCTCCAAGAAGAAACATTTGGTGCTAAGAGTTGCAGTGCTGATGCCTTCCCCCAAGTTAATTCTATTTTAAAAATTTATATTTCCTTCCCAATGAGATGCAGAGTAAAACTTGAGAGTCTCCATTGACTAAGGAGCAGCATCTGTCATCTGTGGTTATTCACTATTTTGTTAAGAATGTATAAGGTTTAAACCCTTATATTTCAAATTGGTGAGAAGTTCTGCTTATATTTCCAGTGAACTTTACTCTTATTATTTAAATAACAAATTATTCATTATTTGTTTTTTTAAATAAACCCTTGCTGGATATCTACCATCTCCACAAACTGAGCTTCATTATCTGAGTGTTGCTCTCCTTTATTTACTGTTCAGAGGTAGACTTGCCTTTATTTTAAAATCGAAACACACTTTGTATCGTAGTGAGGAAGTTAATGGAGATATTTCTGATGGATTGGCTTATAAGATGTGAGGTTTGAAACTTCCGAAGACAAAACACAGTGAGGTATTGATACAAATATTAGAAAGCATTGTAATTTCTTCCTTTGTATATTCAGATGGACTTTTATTCATTCCTATCACATTAGTAAGTTTATTACAATTTAATGATTATTCCTAAAGTGGTGGTAGGTATGTATATACACATAGGGAAGATATATACATCACACACACACACACACACACACACACACACACACACACACACTAAATGCATAGAGTACTTAGTGCATCTGTTGTATAGTTAAAGAAAGTACTAGGTAGGCGAAGCTGGGGAATGCTGTCTGTAGTCAGTGTAGCTACAGTCAAGTCTCATTAGATTAATGTTATGTCTAGTCAATTTCTATGGTATTCAATTTCTAAAGTATTCTGAGAACACTTTAATTTTAGTATATTTCTATATTTACTTGAATTTTATTCAGTCAATTGGGTAAAAGAAGGAATAAATGTATTGAAAACACATAATGTAGCAAGCCTAAGGCTGTTTTGTAAAATATGTTTTAGTACCCCTGCCGGAAGAAAATTCTAATATGAAAATACACAGGATAGCATATACATTTATACATAAATGTTCCTGTCTAGGTTGCTTTACTCATTAGTCTGCTCAGGAAGTAGGTGAGGGAGGTCCTACCTGGAAACTTATCCTAACCAGCTGACTGGCTGGATTGAGAAGCCAACTGTTCAACCAGACTGAAGATAAACTGAAACATCAAGAGCTCCTCCCAGTTCTGATGTTTGCATGAAAGTGGTGAAACCAGAGGCTTTAGTATTTTCCTCAAATTTGTAATGATTGTCTTCTTCCTTGTAAAATTTGGCAGTATTAGATCCACAAACTGCCAATTTCGCTACAGAAAAGACACTGAACTCTAACCTGTAATTTGATAATTAAGTCGTAATGGCATAATTCCTTAGTTAACTTTTTTCACAGTAGAATGTGTCAGAGCAACTGGTGGTGTCATCAGTGCATGACAAACCTCTGAGAAGATGAGAAAAATAGTGGTAAATGTACGAATACAGTGAATTCTGACCTTACAGTCTCACCAAATATCTCAAATGTGCATATAAAGATGCATACATGCCCCAAACAAACCAAAAACCCAACCTGTTCTGCAGCAGTTATGAGATAGTTTATACATTAGAGAAATTTAAACTTTCCCCAGTCAACACTGAACAAAAAAACCATCCACTTCATTAACAGTAACTCTGCTTGTGTTGCCTGTGGCAATAGTCAGAGGGAACTATTTTGTTTAGTGATTTTACACAATGAGGATCTGTCGTATATTTGGGTTGTTAACCTTGCACAAACTTGTCTGGTCTTCATGCAGAAGCCAACTGTAAGAATTCCATTATCCACCCATGCTCCCCCCCAAAAAAGAAAAAAATCCTAAATTTTGTCCCCTAATCCTGACCGTTGTAAAGTTATTTGTAACTCTGATAAGTTTTCTTTACAAGACTGCAAGTGTTCGTCATAATGCAAAGTAAGTCATAAACATGATTAAAACATATGTCTAAGTATATTCTATTTAACTAGAAATACTAGAAAAGAAACCTCAGAGTTCAGACCATTTCAAAATAAATGCATTGCTTTCATAAAGGAAAAAAGTAAGCTGATGATAAATAATTTAGATGCATGGGAAAGGACTCAGCACTTTCATAGCCACAGATGAGAACATGAGTTGCTGCATCAGAAACAAGTCTAACTTTTGCCATGCTCAAGGCTCCAGGGTCTGATCTGGAACAGTAATGGGGGAAAGACAAACTCAAAATGTGAAGCAAAACTGACCAGTTCTAGCAGATGCCACCTACCAGTGGAATTTCGACTGGGTGACTTCTGATGTGAAATAGACAGTTGCCACGATTGCACAGTTCTCCTGGAGTTCTTTTACTTTTTGAAACATCTTTCATCTCTAAAGTTTCTGCTAATTAACAGAGCAATGCCAGCCCTTCCATTTCTTTAAATACTCTGTTTGTGTGAGGCTGTCACACGGGAAGAATGATTATATTTTAAACAATATGTTCAAGTGTAAAAATCTTCAACAAATTCTTGATGTTTTTTATGGGAGAAATTTTGAGGAGTTTTGTAACGAACATCTTGAGACTTCTCTAAAGAGTCTAATTTTTTCAGAAAATTGGAAAGAATTGTAAATAATTTTAAAAAGCTAATAGAGACTACATTGTGACCCACAATGTACTTCTTGGAATATTCAGTGGTATACAGCACAACACTGAAGTTATTACAACTAAAGAAGTTATTACAGCATCGTGGTTGCTTAGGAACACAGTGCACTACTGCAGTCCAGCAACTACTGACCAGATGCGTTTCTAACACTAAGCCAGTACTTTCAAAAGTTTTTACCAAACGAGAAAGGCTGATTCATTTAGCTTGCTGGGTACATATAATGTATTTCTCAAATTCCTAACATGGGCCTCATGAACAGGCTGAGGGTCAGTTTTATTTAAAAATATTTCCCATAACTTCAAAAGTCAGTTTGATAAAATTTTCACCTCAAGGTTATAACCACGTATGTTTATAATTTCTGACTTTGAGAAACAATGTCAACTAAATTGAGCAGAGAGAGTTTAGTTCACTTTCCTGTGGCTAGTGTAGCAAATCTCTACACATTTAGTGTCTCAATACAACACAAATCACTCTCTCCCAGTTCTTGATGCCAGGAGGTTGAAATCAGTTTGTAAGAGCTAAAGGTAACATTTCTGATAGATCAGTTATTTCCAGAATCTTTGAAATGGTTAATTCATTTCTTCAGTTTCTGTTGCTGCCTGAAATCTTTAGCTTCATCTGCTTCCAAAGTGCCTTGAGCCAACATCCTATGGTTATCAGCCATTATCTCTGATCTGCACCTGTATAAAGATCACCATGATGGTCCAGCTTCCACTCACTTAATTCAGGTTGCCTTTTTTCCAGACTTAGTGGTCTTGGGTTCTGGGAAGAAAGACACCAACATTGTGGAGGACGTTATTCAGCTCACTGCAAACTTCTAAGAATCTTCCTTTTAGTAAATGCTTCCGTTGAATCTGCAATCATAAGAAAATCCTACTCAAGCTCAGCTTTCAATGTAAAGGCCTCCCTTTTGCAAATTTATTATCATGATATTCTGTGATTGGAGCAAGGAGAAGGACCTCCATTTCCCCCCTCCTGTGCTTTATTTATTTATTTTGTTTTATACTTGAGACTTCATATAAGTGGTGTAGCCAGGAGATAAATTTCTGGAAGATGTTTGCCAGATGAAAAATCTCCCAGAAGACAGAAGCATGAGATCAGGGTTTTGTTTTCTTCAAAGCATTTGTGTACAAGGCCATAGGTTAGCTAAGCTATCCCTGAAAAACTTTTTGATGTCATTCTGAAAAACATTTAGGAAGGTATTTAAATATCACTGGAGACTATGGACAAAAATACACTGATATTCTAATGCGAACATCAGTAATAGACATATGGACTTAAACAGAACTTCCTCCCACCTGCTAGCCATTTTTAATCCATAATTAAACGTGTTTTCTTATGGAAGCAATGATTTTAAATTGAAGAAAACCTCACACCTACATCAAATATTGTTTAAGCGGCAATTATAAAGATATCCATAGAAGTGATAAAGTCTAAAATGATGAAAATAAAAGGGGTTAAACTCTCTAGATGGAGTTTCTCTAAATAAAAACATTATATATTATTTACTTTGAGTTGTTTAAAACAAATCATTAATTTTGATACATGTGGTAGAAGTCATATTTTGCATATTTCCAATTTTGTATAAATATGTATGTATACCTTTCTCCAAGTACATTTATATATTTCAACTATCATGAACCATTTATGATGTGAATTTTTATATATTTTGGTTACCTGTATAACTAAGGTTACCTGTGTCTACAGAGTATCTGAGAGTTCTCAAATATCCTTATGCGTATATCATTCATTTTTGTTCATAAGATATATACTAGATGCATACCATATACAGTATGCTAATTTTGCCCAAACCCTGCGAAAATGTTAATATGTATTTTGAGAACATGGTTAGGAGGTGGAAAGATCTTCTAATGATATTCAATGGTTATTATAGCATGAATCCTGCGTGGTCCATTTAAAAAATAAATCTCATCATGTAAAGTGAGATTTAATGGTCAGTGGGGCCTGTTTTATGTGGCCAAACCTAGATCAACTCCGTAGCAATCAGAGCATCTCGTTTTGCTGCTACACAGTTCTCAGCGTGTATTGAAGTCTTACTGATGAATCACGAGGCCTTAAACCATTTCATTTGTTGCAAAATATTGCTTTTGCAGCCGGGCGGTGGTGGCGCACACCTTTAATCCCAGCACTTGGGAGGC